GTGGGAAAGGCCGGGGAGGGGCCCCTGGAAGCCTGCCAGCTCCAGGATGTGGCAGCCCCAGGGTCCAGGGAAAGACTTTGCCAAGGACAGCAGGCCCTGGTGGTGGCTTCTTATGAGAAGCGAGGCCAAAATTACCCAAAGACGAGGCTGAGCAGATTTCTTTTTCTTTTTCTTCACCCAAGGATATTTTTCCCATTGCTTTTCCAGAGAGAGTAGAAGAGAGAGAGAGAGAAAGATGGATGTGAGAGAGACACATCGATTGGCCGCTTCCTGCACACACCCCAACCGGGGCCGGGGATGGAGCCTGCAACTGAGGCACGCACCCTGACCGGAATCAAACCTGGGGCCCTTCGGTCCGTGGGCAGACGTTCTGACCACTGAGCCAGACTGGCCAGGGCTGAGCATATTTCTTACTTTTCAAAAAAATGGGGAAGAATGTGAATGTTGAGTGGGACCTGCATGAGGATTCCTGTACCCTCCCAGGACATGCCGTAGTTGGGAAGGGAAGAGGCAGGCACTGGGAGCCAGGATGGTGCACCCTGAGGTTAGGTTGCCCTGGGCTCTCCGGCAGGCTTGATTTTCTTTTCTCCTGGGGGTTAAATTGGGAGGCTCTAGGCATGGGAGATATGTTAGGGCCCTCATCAGACAGAGGCCCTCTTTACCCTGTTGTGAACACCATGGGAAATGTGCACTGTTATGTGGGTTAGTTAGATGGCCAGATAGCTGGTGAGTAACTGTACCCGCTGTTTCTAGCTGGGAGTGGTCAGCGGCGACAGCTCGGGAGTGTCCATCCTTGGCCCTTTCTGTATAGAGGGATATAAAATACATCTGGGAAAGCACACTGAGGTGCTTGATTTTGGTCAGAGTCCCAGGAGATCTCAGAGGGCTGGCACTCCAGGCAGAATATAAGGGAGGAATTTAACAGGAATCTGCCTCAGGTCTCCATCACCCAGAACATGCAAGTGTTACCAGTATGGGAGGTGGGAGGAGGAAGGGGATGGTCCCACCCTGAACTCTCCAGGCCACATATGGGGCCTCTAAGGGACTCACAGAAAAAGAAGGGAGTGAGTCACAGATTTGAAACTATTTCAGGCAGGAACTGGTGGGGAAAATGACTTTTCTTTCAGGAGGGGAAGACTGGAGGTTTCTTGGGGGAGAGAGGGAGACCCAGAGATGAAGGACTGCTCCTTGGATGTTGATTAGACCCAGCCTGTGGGGCACTCCTGGGCAGAGTTCACTGCCTGGGAACAGATCTGACTCTTGCTGGGAACTCTGAAGCCCTGGTGGGAATGAGCACTGGCAGGCGGAGGCTGACCTGTGGTCCTGCCCCAGGTGGGGACACCAGCGCTCCAGGCCAGAGTCCTGTGGTATATTTATATAATAATGCTAACCCCAGGCTCAGAGGGGGGCTGTCTTGGACTGAATGGACCCTGTGTGTGTTATACAAATCTTGGAAGAACATCCGCAGCCTACAGCAAGCTCAGAAATCCCCACCTGAATTGGGCCTTTTTAAAGTTGTCTTTTAATAGGCAATACTTATGTGGCAAAAAATGCAAATATAAGCAGTTAGCTTCATTTCTGTCCCCAAAGTTAACCAGTGTTACCCAGTTTCTTGTTTCTTGTTCCAGGGAACGTCTCTGTGCATGTGTGTGTGTGTGTGTGTGTGGTATACACACACACACCACTAAGTTTGGATGTTTAAGTTTTCTTTTAAAAAATATTAACTTAGTATTATACCTTCATATATAATGGTAATCATTTCATATCCCCATATATAGAGCTAGCTAATTCTAAAAATAGCTATAGAGTATCCATTGCATGGCTCCTTTGTGATTTATTTAGGTGCATATTTAGGGGTTTGTTGTTGTAACAAATGACACTGCAGTCAGATCCATGTGTGGATGTCATCTCCCACAGGTGTATGTATGTCTGCGAAATAGACTTCCAAAGGTCAAGTTTCTGGGTCAAAGAATGTCATTTTGTTTGTTTGTGTGGTTTTTTTTGGTAAATCTTCACCTGAGGAAACTTTTCCCATTGATTTTTCTTTTTAGAGAGCATGGAAGAGAGGGAGGAGGAGGGGAAGAGAGAGAGAGAGAGAGAGAGAGAGAGAGAGAGAGAGAGAAACATTGATGTGAGAGAGAGACATTGACTGGTTGCCTCCTGCACTCGCCCCAACCGGTGCCCAGGATCGAACCTGCAACCCAGGTACGTGTCCTTGACTGGGGATTTAACCCTTGACCCTTCGGTCTTTGGGCTGACGCTCTAACCACTGAGCCATATTGGCCAGGGCAAGTGTGTCGTTTTTAACGGTGACATCTGTGTGTTTTTAATTGGCAGTTCTCAGCGTATTAGTGAGAGTGAACATCTTTACTCCTTAGTTCCTCTTCTATAATTGCCTGTCCCCATCATTTGAGTATTTCTAGAGGTTATTGATCTTTTTCTTATCGTAAAACATTTTTCAGAAACTTGTCATTTCTCTTTACGTTGTTTTCCTTATTTGTTTTTTATTACACAGAACATTAATTTTATGTCTTTGGGGCTTGGGGACACTTTTTTTTTTTTTTTTAATATATCTTTATTGATTTCAGAGAGAAGAAAGAGAGAGAGAGAGATAGAAACATCAATGATGAGAGTCATTGATCGGCTGCCTTCTGCACGCCCCTGACTGGGGATCGAGCCCGCAACCTGGGCATGTGCCCTGACTGGGACTCAAACCCTGATCGCCTGGATCCTAGGTTGACGCTCAACTGCTGAGCCACGCCCGGCCGGGCAGGGGCACTTCTTACATTTGAACCTTTGGTCTGGTTGAAATTTATTTTGGGGTATGGAACCAGAGTAGTATCCCCTTTTGGTTTTTTCTGCCACCTTGATGTTACTGGGGCCTTTTGGCCTCATTGCTCTGGGTGGAGACAAGAAGTAGACAGGAGTCTTTGGTGCCCGAAGCTTCTGTGGAGTGGTGGTCTCCAGAGGGAAGGGGTCAGGAACACAGCGGCAGCTCACCCTGTTCCCTCGCGGAGGGGCTCCCTCAGAAGGTTCCCAGCTTAGCCGTCATTCAGATCCCCAGGATCTCACCACAGCAGCGAGGTCTGAGGGTTCTGGCAGAAGGGTCAGGTCGAGGGCAGAACCCGGACGGCTTTGTGCTGATGGCTCACCAGCCACAGGGAGAGGAATCAGCCTGAGGGAAGCCCCATTGGGTCTTGACCATCACACCATAGTGTACAAGTAAAAGGGTCTTTGGTCATGCTGCAGGTAGCCAGTTCTAGCCCTCCCCAAGGTCACTTGGCCATCGTCTGGCCTCCCATTGCTTTGTCTATGGTCACCTGGGCCCACTGACCAAAACAAATTACCTCACTCATAGGGCTAAGAACCAGGCCCACCCTGGAGGGAACTGGTGGCACCTTAAGGAAGGCCTGCAGCTTCCTTGAAAACTGTATGCCCAGTTCTCTAACATAGCTACAAACTAGAATTCTGTAGGTAGATAGCAGCTCTAGAGCAGTATTTCTCAAAGTGAGGTGCTGGACCAGCAGGCAGCATCACCTGGGAACTTGTGAGAAATGCAAATTCTGGTTCTACTAACTCAGACTCTAGGTGGAGCCCACTGTTGTGTTGAACAGCCTTCCAGGTGGTTCTGTGCTCTACAGTTTGAGAACCAGTGGTCTGTGCTGGTCAGGAGCCCAGCATGCAAGGAACGGCTCCCTGGGGCCAGCAGGTGTGATTGTCAAGGGGGCCTACAGGTTCTGCCACACTCCTCACCTGTCATTGGGTTCCTCTGCAAACCCTAGCAGCCACTGATTAGCAAGAGCAGGCAGGTTGTATGACAGTCTGAGTGGCTGATGGCATGGCAGATCTGTGTCTTCCTGGGCAGTTTAATTGGCATGGGACACAGCATAGGGGTCTGTATACAAAGGGACTTTGTGAGAGCAGATATCCCATCCAGCACCTGCAGACAACAGCCCCAGCTTCCAGGCCTGTATCCCTCCCTTACTCCTGATCTGCAAGTTGCTTACCCTCGCTGAGCTCTGACTGCCTCATTTTAGGAACAGCATGGTGCTGCTTCACTCACCTGATTCCAGATCCTGGATCAGAACAGCTCTCCCGAGGTCCCTTCTGGTTTCTGGAACAGTGATTCCATGCCAGATTCCCTTGCAGGATGAACCAGAGGTTGGAGCGTGAAAGTGTAGCCTGGGGCCAGTCCAGGCTGGGGGCTGCTATGAGAACTTGGGGTCTGCAGATTGGGCACAGGGAGATGGGCTGTGGTCCTCTGTTGGATGGATGGTGGTAAGAACACTGAAAAATAAAGACAAACAGACCTGAGGAGGAGGCAGTGTGCTCTCCTGAGGCCGGAGGACTTCTCCCGCACATACGCAGCCTCCCTGGTCGGGAGAGGTGGGAATGAAGCTTGGGTGAAGCGGGGTTTTCTTTTTTTAAAAATATAATCTTTATTGACTTCAGAGAGAGGGAGAGAGAAACATCAGTGATGAGAGTCGTCATTGATCGGCCGCCTCCTGCTTGCCCCCGACTGGGGGTCGAACCCGCAAACCAGGCATGTGCCCTGACCAGGAACCTAACTACAATCTCCTGGATCCTAGGTCAATGCTCAACCGCTGAGCCATGCCTGGCCGAGCTGAAGGGGGTTTTCGAGGNGGTCGAACCCACAAACCAGGCATGTGCCCTGACCAGGAACCTAACTACAATCTCCTGGATCCTAGGTCAATGCTCAACCGCTGAGCCATGCCTGGCCGAGCTGAAGGGGGTTTTCGAGGAAGCCGCAGTTTATGATGGGTATGGGCCTGAGCCTGGCCCTGAACACGAGCTGCCCCGGGTGCTATTTCTAGCTGGAGGCCCTGACAGGTGGAGGGTAAACTGGTTGCCACAGTCCAGCCTGATGCAATTTCTCCTGCAGGAACCTGCCTTGTGGTGTTGATGTTCTTCCGAGAAGCTGCTGATAAGGCTGGTGGGAGCTCCCAGCAGAGCCTGAGCTGTTTTTTTCTTCCTTTCAGATCTGACCATGAGTTACCCAGGTTACCCCCCGCCCGCAGGTGGCTACCCACCAGTTGCACCAGGTAAGAGGGTGGGTGGGGGAGGGGATTCCCTCTCAGCTCCATGCCCAGGAGTGGAAGGGAGGAGTAAGGTTGCTCCCATTGTCCCCCGTAGTGTAGCCAGGTTGCTGGAGTGTGGGGGTGGTAGTAGTGGTGGCAGTGGAGAACATGGACCCTGAGGCCAGGAGAGCCTGGGTTTGAAGCTGCCTCTGGAAGGCCAGGATCAACCAGGTCTCTTGACTTACTAGCTGATAGCAGTGGCCTTCTCTCTGGCTCAGCTTTCTCCTTTGCAAATGGCTTCACGGGTCTCTCCCTCACTAGGCTGTCCCAGATGCTAACAAGATAGTCAGGTAGAGCGTCTGGCACAGTGTCCTCGAAGCATTGTTAGGTGACTTGTCACTTCTACCTTGTGCTCAGGGTTCATGGTCTTGCAGTGCAGGGTCCCCCTGCCAGGGGAGGGAGTGAAGGTGGTCTCTAAGGATCAGGTGCTGCTTTTGCGGCTGCACCAGCTGGTGAGGTGATGAGAACCAGGCCCCAGTCCCAGTGCTGCTCTGCACACCTAGAAGTCATCTCCTCTGGCCTGGGCTCCTCCTGGGTTCCTGAAATGAGATCTAGCCTCCAGGGTAGGAAGGAAACATGAGGGTTCCTGGGACAGGGGGAGAGAAGAGACCATTCCAGGCTGGTCATCCTAAGTTGGCCTTAGCTGCATTGCCCTTCACCTCATGAGACCCCTGGACACATTCATTTCCCTAGAGCTGAGGTTCTTGAGCCTGAGCACTGAGAGGCTTTGCAGGCCATTTGGATCCACTCTCTCAATCACCTGGTGAAGGACAGGCCCAGAGCTGGGAGGCAGCTGAGCTACTGGCTTATCGGGTGGAGCTGGGCAATTTCACTCTGAACAAGCCCATATTCAGATTTGCCAGTACTGGGCTGAGTTCCTCTCCCTAACAAGAATCCTATCATCTCTGTCCTACCACTGCCACCTCTCTCAGCACCTGAGCAGCAAGAGAGAGCAGGCAGGTGATTCTGGGAAGGCTCTGTCCTGAGTGTCCTGGAGCCCTGGAACTGAAAAGCGAAACAAGAGGCCCCAGGGCCTTTTTGCTGCTAAGAACAGAAATTCATCTAACGGGCCAGCAGCCAGCACGATGATGCTAGCTGAGCTGCCATGTTGTTTGTCTCAGTGACTGCTGTAACATAGGAGCTCACTGGGCACCCAGCTAAGCCCTGCATGGGCATTAACTCTCAGCCTTAGCACAGCAATTTAAAGCAAACACTACTTATCCCTCCTTTGTCAGCAGAGGAAACTGAACTTTGTGGGTGAGTGCCTAGCCCAGGGCACATTCCCTGGTTCTGCTGGTTTCAGAGCTGGGCTTTTCACTGATGTCCCCCAAAGTCCCCCTTACAAGGACAGTGTCTGTTTTTTCCATGACTCAGGCTCGTCTCCCTCTATCCTTCCAACCTGCTTCTCCCTGCCTCTTACAGACTTGTAATAGCAAACAGAGCAAACAGCCACAGTGGCTCCCCTCACCCCCATGCTTTTTCACCTCCCTGGATTCTCAGTGCTCCCTGAGCTCACTGCTATCATGGGCTCAGCACAGTGTCCTAAAATGACCTGTCTTTTTGTCTGTACTCCCGTTCCATGATAGTGAGCCTGGGGGTGGGGGTGGGCAGATTTGCCCTTGACCCTTCTGCATCCTCAGTATCCCACTGAAGGGCTTGGGAGTGTTTGCTGAACCACCCCCTTCCTCCCTGGAAGGAGAGGAAAGCTCCCTCTTCTCTTCCTTTGGCATTGGATTGTGTTAGACTTTTTTGCCTGGATGTTTTCTGTGTGGTCTGTAGTGCTGTCTCCTATACCCTGCTTGGCCTACCCCTGGGCCACCTGGGAGCTTGCTGTCTGCTTTTCCCTGTTGGGGGGCTGACCAGGGGCTAACGGGCTTGGTGTTGCTTTCAGGTGGTGGTGCCTGGGGAGGTGCTGGCTACCCCCAGCCCAACATGCCCCCTATTGGGCTGGATAACGTGGCCAACTACGCAGGGCAGTTCAACCAGGACTACCTCTCAGGAATGGTGAGTCCAGCCCTCCTGCTGGGCTGCCTTGGGCCCACTCCTGCATGGCCAGAGGCGTAAAGGCTGCTGGCTTCTATGGCATCAGAGGTGTCTCTGTGTGTTACCTAAAGGTGCTAAGTGTATTGACGGGTATCTTAGGACATACGGGTTTTTATCAGGGCTCTCACCTGTTCACTGTTCCTCTCTGTGACTGCATTTGCCCAGCTGTCAAATTAGGGAAGGGTAATGCATTGGGTCCACAGTTTGGTAGGTCCTTCTTGGCTCTGCGGGGCTGGGTAGGGTAGTGCCTTTTTGGAACGTGTATTGAGCGCCTTCTGTATGAGCTCAGAATAGGGTCGGCAGGGAGGTGAGGGTGGGTACAGTGTATGTGCGTGCATGTGCCGTGTACAAGTGCCCATCTGCCCATCTGTGTGTGTATGTATGTGTACATATGTGTGGATGGCTATTCTGGTTGGGCCTGGGAGTGGGTGCCTGGTAGCATGGACAGACATGCTACTTTTAGTTGTTGATTTGCTTTTAAAATAGTATATTTTGTAATCTAAACAAATGTTTGCTCAATGTAAACAGTACAACCAATAGGCAGTCTAATTTATGCCTAGTGATATGTGGATAAAACAAACCACAGTCTGAGCCCTGGAGTACTTATTGGCCCCTGGGAAGAGACAGGCAATTGCCGTAAGTAATAGAGCAAGTGTGGGGCTTTGGGCACAAGAACAGGTTGGGGGTGAGCAGTGCAGGTGGGATGCATGTGGGACAGTGTCAGGTGCTCGGACTCTGCTGGAACTCCGAGTGCAGCTCCTGGACCCTGCTGCAGGGCTCAGGGCAGGGAAGGAAGGAGGGGAAGGCTCCCTCTTCTCTTCCCCTGGCAGTGAGATTGGGTTAGACTGTCTTGCCCGGGTGTTTTCTGTGTGGTCTGTAGAGCTGTCCCTGGGGCCCTGCTTGGCCTCATTAGTCTTAGGCTCTGCTTTGTGACTTTCAGGCAGCCAACATGCCCGGGACGTTTGGAGGAGCCAACATGCCAAATCTTTACCCTGGGGCTCCTGGGGGTGGTTACCCTCCAATCCCCCCTGGGGGTTTTGGGCAGCCCCCTTCCACCCAGCAGCCTGTTCCTCCGTATGGAATGTATCCATCCCCTGGAGGAAACCCGCCACCTGGGATGCCTTCATACCCGCCATACCCAGGGGCCCCTGTGCCAGGCCAGCCCATGCCGCCTCCTGGACAGCAGCCCCCAGGGGCCTACCCTGGGCAGCCACCAATGACCTACCCTGGGCAGACACCAATGCCACCTCCTGGGCAGCAGCAACCGCAGCCAGTGCCAAGCTACCCAGCATACCAAGGGTCCGGGACCGTCACCCCTGCCGTGCCCCCATCGCAGGTGAGTGCCAGCCCTGTGCTACCCTCAGTCCTAGCATGGCTCCAAAGGCCCAAGACACATGGCCCTGTGTCCTCTGGCACAGGGCCGGCAGGATGTGGAGGGGAAGGCCAGGGCTTAGTCCTCCAGCTGTAACTTCTTGTTTTAACAGTGTCATTTTCTTAGACTCCCAGCCCCGGTTTGTATTCTTGAAGACCAGGGAGCTGCCCCGTCTCTCCCAGTTTGGTTAGGTGTTCTGTGTGCCTGTTGGGTATGAATATCCCAGGCTGCTCTTTCTTCCTCTGTGTTATTTACTGCCTGGGCTCTATGTATTGTAAGAACTGCTCAGGCCACTGGCTCAAGGCTTTATGCCCAACAGCTCTCTGTCTTCAACTGGTTGTGCCCCCTCCTCACCCCACCACCCAGCTTGCTTAAGAGGATTTGTAAAACCTCCTTGGGGCAGGGAAGATTGTTGGCAGTTCCTTCAGAGCTGCTCTCAGCTCATTTTGGAGAGCAGTTCATGTTTGCAGAGCCCAGAATTCATTGTCATGGTTACATGGCCAAGCCGGCAAAGTGCAAGGCTAGTGGTATGTGCTTGAAGACTATTTTTAGACAGAGGGTCCCCTGTCCTCCCTTCCTCTATACATTCCCCCACCACCATCCTGCTCTCCTCCCCCTTTCCTTCCTTCCACCTTATCTTTTCTCTGAGTTTACCTCCTTAACTCTGTTAAAATCAGTCTGTATTAGCCATAGGAGATAATCCACCAGGAGACTGTTTAGGCAGGGAAATTCAAGTTTGCTGGGAGCACAGCTGCCAGGATCAGGAAGACGTGAGGCTGGCAAGCAGGTTGTAGCATCTAGAAAACATGCCAGGAGCTCAGTGCTAGCCCAGGAGGTGGGCAGAGTGGACCACTGTGAAGGTGGGACACCTACTTCCCTCCAGAGGAGTTACCTTTTTCTAATTTGCACAGAGGTGCTCTGTGGACTAACTAGGCCCCATTAGGGGGACCCTGTGCTCATGGTGCTTTGGTGGAGCGGCATTGAGGAGAAGCCAGTGGCTCCTGCACTCAAGGCCTCCCCTTTAGCAGAAACCCAGGCAGCCCTGGAGGACCTGGGTGTGGGGCCAATTTTCAGCATCAGGACTTAGCTATAGATGGGCTCCTAGCTGTGAGAGCCAGGCAGAGCTTCCGCACCAGGGCACAGGACAGATAATGGCCACAGTAAGGCCAATCAGTGTAGATTCCTCTGTTCATTGTGAACTCCTTCAGGCACCCCAACTCTTAGAAAAAAACCTTATTCGCAGTCTGAGGTGGAGCAGTCTCACATCTGGGCAGGCAGCAGCTCACCTAAGTCTGTTTGTCCGAGCAGTTTGGAAAGCGAGGCACCATCACAGATGCTCCTGGCTTTGACCCCTTGCGAGACGCCGAGGTCCTGCGAAAGGCTATGAAAGGCTTTGGTGAGAAATCCCGGGGGCTCAAATGCTCATTGCGCCCTCCCCCCCCCATTCCCCAGGCAGTTACCCAGTGGCTCTGTGGGCTGGGGTCGCTGGGTGGGGCAGCCTGGCCCTAGTGGTAGAGGAGAGAAGATGGATATGGGGGTGTATTGGGGTATCAAAAGAATGAGAGGACCCACACCTGGGGAGTCTCCAGCTGCAGAGCACCCCCACAACCCCCAACCCTGCCTACTCCCACCTTTCTTCAGGGACGGATGAGCAGGCCATCATCGACTGCCTGGGGAGTCGCTCCAACAAGCAGCGGCAGCAGATCCTCCTGTCTTTTAAGACCGCTTATGGGAAGGTGAGTGTGTGTAGGGGGAGTGTACAAGGAGGCCTGTCCTCCAGCACAGCGCTATTCACCCCTGCTTTTCCTTGGGGCTGAGTAGGCCTACATCTCCTGGATGGAGAGTAAGGCACATTAGGGTACTGCCTGCTGCCCACCCAGCCAGTGGCCTCTGGGCTGACGCCATCTTCTAGGGGTGAATGATGCTCTGAGGGAGAGACTCAGAGTCCATAGGGTACTGAGATTTCATGAGAGGCACCCAGAGATCTGGGCTCTCACCTTGGTTCTGCCATGATTCACTGAGACCTGGGGCAAGTTATCGCCCCTCTGCTCCCACCTGGCTTGTGTCCTCTCCTGGGAACCTTGGCTGCTGTCCCTGCCCTCTTCACAGCCACCCTGTGAGGTTCAGCTGATAGAAGGGCTTTGAAGGAAAGGCTTTCAGTACTGAACAAATGCAAAGGACGCATATTTTTAACTTTGGGGCTTTTGAATCTTAGGAGAGTAAAACCTGGGTAAAGATTGAACTAGTGTTAGTGTTCTAGGCTAGTGTTCTAGGCGATTTCTTCTCCAACGTTACTGTGCCCTGGATCCCCTAGGAACTGGGTTCAAATGCAGGCTCCGGTTCTGCAGGTCTGGGCTGGGGTGGAGATTTAGCTTTTTTGCCTATGCTCCCAGTCCTCAGATCTGTGATGTTGTCCCTGTTTGTCACCTATAGATTGTCTAAGTAGGTTTTTTTGTTTGTTTGACTATCCAATCAGGATTTGATCAAAGATCTGAAATCTGAACTGTCAGGAAACTTCGAGAAGACCATCTTGGCTTTGATGAAGACCCCAATCCTCTTTGATGTTTATGAGATAAAGGAAGCCATCAAGGTGTGTAAGCGTGTGTAAGCGCGCGCGTGTGTGTGTGTGTGTGTTTTCATACGCGTGGACACAGCCCAGGGAGGGCCTGGACCACATGGTGTGTCTTAGCCCATTCACTAGCTACTGTTGTCCTGTTGTCATTTTGGCTCCTACACCCCCTTGGGCTGAATCCAAGTGCTGTAGGAAGGGGAACTTCCTTCCGGCGAAGTGTCAGTCATTGTCAGGGAACATCTAAGTCTCTCTCCATCTTGAAGACATGGTGGGAGCTGGGGTTGTAGGAGGAGTATGAGGCATGGGTGGGGTCATCCTCATTCTTTAGGACCTGCTATTAGCACATAACAGAAGGACCCTTTAAGCAGAACAAAGTGCAGTCGGCTATGAGGACAAACAGCCTGGCTTGGAGAGAGATGGGACCAGAGGATGTCACGAGCAGATGCCCATGCAGGAGTTCTCTCGTCTCAGCATCCTGCGTCCACATTATGCTTCTGTCTGCTTCCCTGCTCCTTCCGTGTCTGCTCGGCAGAAGGTCCCTGTCCCTTTGCCCGTCAGACATCTAGCCATATAAGAAACCACCTGCTCCGGAGTCCAGATTCCAAATAGGGGATAAGTCGTGAATAGCTCGTTTTGGTTTAACATCTGCCCCAGTCCCTCAGTTGTGACCAAGCAGAGAGTCCTCTGTGTGCCGTATGCGCCGGGGTTCCCCAGACCCACAGCAGGAACCCTGTGGACGGGGAGTCCTGCCCACAGAAGGATCCTTGTGAATGGAACAGGTGATTTGGAAGGAACTTAACATTTCCTCAGTGGCAGAGAGGCGCAGCGACCTTTCCTGCCCCAAGAGGAGAGGTAGGGACTTAGTGTGGAGCCCGGGAGGGAGAGAGGACTCCCCTTAGACACCCTGTGTGCTTTCTTCTGCAGAGGGGTCAGGAGGCAGTTGGGAAGGGCACCTGGGAATGGGCCCTCGACCTCTGCCCAGCCCCTGCCCCCAGCCGTTCATGAGGTGGAAACAGCACCTCAGGTGTGGGGTCAGCTGTCACTGACTGTGTGTCCCTGAGCACCTGTGAAATGGGAATGTGGCTGCTCTCTGTAACATGCGGCGAGCACTGAGCCAGGAGGTTGGCAGCAGCGCATCATAAACTCTGGGTCACCTACAGTAGCAGTGAACACAAAACAGCTAAGCCTCTGTCGTGCTTCCTGCGTGACAGGTGTTGCTCTGAGTACATAACTTACGTAACTCATTTCATCCTCGTGACTCCTATGAGGTGGGTACCAGTATCACTCCCATTTTACTGACAAGTGAGCTGAGGCATGGCGAGGTTATGTGATGTGTATGGTTACACAGCTAGTCAGCAGCAGCGCTGAGACTCAGACCAACAGAAGCCAGGCTGGTGACCTTGCCTTCCACCTTCTCACTGTCCCTGATGGTCCCCCCTCATCTTCATTGTTGCTGCCCTTTCCTGGATGTCTGAAGATGCCCCCACAGTTCATTCTAAAGGCTCATTTTTCCACACGTCCACTCCAGCTTTAAACCCATTTCTCAGTTGTTTCTCATCTCATTCATGGGCTGAACTTGGCATAAAACAGTTCTGGGTCCACATCTCAATCCACTTGGCCTTGGACAAGTTACTATACCTCTGATTCAGTTTTCCAGCAGGTAGGATGGGGATGATCCTTCGTGTGATTGCTGCTCATCACCATATGGCTGTCATGTGGTACTTTCCTGGAGCTCTGGGGGACAGCTTGGCTGCTCTCAGATAGCAGCAGCAGCAGCAGCACGAGGGGCTCTTTATGGCTTCTGTTGCTGGGATTTGTACCCTGGGGAATAGGGCAGAGGCACTGTTTCCTGGGTGCTAGTGAGGGAGCTGTGACAAGCCCGTGGTTTGCTGTGTCCTCTGCAGGGGGCCGGCACTGATGAAGCCTGCCTGATTGAGATCCTTGCCTCCCGCAACAATGAGCACATCCAGGAACTGAGCAGAGCCTACAAAGCAGGTTTGGCTGCCCCAGGCCCTTTGCCCTCTGCCCTCTGCAGAGCCCTGGGTGTTCTGGGCCCTGTCCACACCCCCTCCCAGGGCCTCTGTTCCTTCCTGGCCTTATCACCTCATATCCTGTCACAACCAACATAGGGGGCTTTGATCCGAGACCCAACTCTGCCTGCTCTTTGCACACAGGATGGGTGACTAAAGGAAGGGAGGGCTAAGGGAAACCTCTTGGGTATGGTTTGGGCCAGGTCAGCCTGCAGTTCACAGCCCCTCCTGGATTTCCAAATGTGTGTCTCTGGAGAGCCATGTGGGCCACCTGTCTCCTGGAGCCCAGGACTCCCAGGCCCTTTTCTTGCCAGTGCCCACTGTTGACTGTGTCTGCAGTGGGCAGCTTTGTCCACTGGGCTATAAGGTGGGCCTTTCCTTTGTCTCCCAGAATTCAAAAAGACCCTGGAGGAGGCCATTCGAAGCGACACATCAGGACACTTCCAGCGGCTCCTCATCTCTCTCTCTCAGGTACCTTTCCCACAACAGAGCTCAGAGCAGATAGGGGGCCTCCCTGAGCAAGGAGAAGGAATGGGGAGGGAGGGGTGCAACTCCAGGAAGTGGCCTTGACCACACAGCCTGTCTACTTTCAGGGAAACCGGGATGAAAGCACAAATGTGGATATGTCACTTGTCCAGAGAGATGTTCAGGTGAGTGTGGTGGCCAGATCAGGCACCCTATGTGGACTTCCTAAGCTGGTGGGGGCCCCACTTTCTTTCTTCATGAGGGAGGAGCTCTGGGATGGAAGGGGAACGAGTGGGAGTGGATTCCAGATGCTGTGGCTTCCAGACGGGCTCTGCTGCTTATCAGCCATGTGGTCTGAGCATGTCTCCCAGCCTCTCTGGGCTTCAGTTTCCCTACCTGTAGAGGGAACACACGAGATGACTATCACAGCAGTAGGTAGATCACAGTTACAAACGTGGAACTTCCTGTGACTTGGTATTTCTCCTATTTGGTTGCATATGCCATTATGCTTGCAAATGGGTAGAATCCACACTTGCTTGTGAAGCTTTTGAGTTTCTAAGCCTAGAAAACCAGCTGTTGCATTAGTTGTGCAGCCTTAGAATTCTGCCCTTGTCACCAGTCTGGTGTGAACTGCAGACAGAAGGGGGAAAGTCACCATTTCCTCTCTTTGACCAGGCATCTCAATGCCCCTCTGGAGGAGTTTGGATTTCCCAGTAATGAATTCGGACCATAGAAGTTCTGGAGAAAGCCACAGCTTCCTGGTGGGACAGAGCTGGCCATACCTCTCTCCCTCTTCGTTGCTCCTGCCACTTCGAGCAGGACTTCCCCAGGACCTTCCATGGTCTCTTTATCTCCCCTATCTGTGAGGTTGAAGAGGACTTCTGTGGAGTGCCCTCTTGTTAAGGTTGAAAGAGAGCCACTCTTATGATCTGGTCCATTTTGCTTTCCACATGGAGAAACTGAGGCTCAGAAAGGTTGAGCATTGTGCTCAGAGAAACTTGGAGGCAGAGCCGGGACAAGGGCCCAGACTCCTAGCTCTGTCTCTGCAGGGAGCACACAGACCCCCTGGTCCCAGGTGCCTTCCTTTAGGGTCTACCTTAATATCTCCCTGGCTTAAGACATGCATTCCCATTTCCAGGCTCAGTTGGACAGTTTCAAAGCTCCGGGACTCTGGCCCTGGCCTCAGTGGGAATATTTCTATTCCTATTTTCCTATATTGGCCATTTCCCAGCTGATTGGGAAGTCGCCTCAGTTTCAAGGTGTCGTGCCTGCTGCTCTGCCTTCATAGTTTTGGACTTGCTCCTGCCTCTCCTTGACCTGTGGGATCTCTGAGCCCCTGATGGCCACCCTCTCTCCCTGGGTATTGGTGCGTTTAGATCCAAGAGCTGTTTCCTGAGGCCGGAAGGCACTCTTAAGCCATCTGTTGCAGGGTTGCACATTGGCAAATATTCTGGGCTCACACTTTCGAAAGCTTAACAGACAAATGCAAATTCTGCCCATTTGCAAACATAATGGCATATGCATCCAAACACAGGGAAAGTGCCTAGCATATATGACATCCAAATCTGTGACTGACTTATCAGTTGTTATAATACATATTGTCTCCCATGTTCCTCTTATAGAGAGGGAAGCTGCTTTTAAAGACTGGGGGACTTTATATAGAAGTCAGGATCTCTTGCCTCTCCTGTGAAATGGGCCTGGCAGCTGTGAGCCTGCATCTCTGTCATTGCTCAGCTGGTGCCCAGAAAACCAGCCCTGTGTGGTTAGCCTTGATCCCTCCACTCTCTGGCCCTATTCTCCTCAGGTTACCTAGCTGGCCCCTTTGGACTTTCAGGTTTGTGACCCCCAAATCTAATCCAACCTTCATGTTGTAGAGATGAGGAAGCGGGGCTCAGAGAGGGCCAGTGGCCTGCCGAGACTCGCGGCTGTAGAGCGAGGACTCGGGCCCAGGCCTCTTGTTCTTTTTTCCTTTGGGCTGCTTCTCCCTCGGTTGGGTTAAAGCTGTTCCGTGCCCATCCTGAGCTCCAGTTGGCCTCGGTTCTCCTGATTCTGAGTTCTCCCCACCTTCAAAACACTTTGTGTTGCCCAGCAAGGGGGATGTGTAGTTCTGCAAAGTGAATGGAGCACAGCTGGGGCACTGGCCCTATTTCCTTCCCCTCTGGGCTTGCATGGCCCGAGTAGGTGACCTGGACCTGGTGCCTGGGGTGAGGCCTGCATTGTATGCCCGTCTTCCCCCCCCCCCCCC